TGCCCACACCTCGGTTTCAGATTCCAAGCCTCCAGAATTGTGAGAGAATACGCTTCTCTTGCTTTAAGCCCTCAGGTTTGGGTAAATACATTTCTCTTGCTTTAAGCCCCCAGGTTTGGGTATAAGGCATTGTTTCAAATCTTAGTATCATGTGTGAAACTTCATATTTGTCTTTATAAAGCAAATCAGTGGTCTCTAAGTGGGGTACTCAACACAAGTGGGTTGTGGGGGAAAAGTAAAACTTTGGGGTCCCCCAAAGCCCACCGTTATACTTTCCTAATCTTTTGAGGTTCAGATCAGCACTAGTAGCTTCTTTCAGTGGATATGTCAGGGCATCCGGTGTCACCCATAACATAGTTAGGCCCTTCAAGAGCTCCACAGTGAGGGGGTGATGGGGGGATAACCTCACCTATGCATTACTTCCCAGGAGGATTTGGGATATTATGGTTGACATGTGCTTGGGTAAGTGATTTACAAATTACGCAACCTAGAGGAGCCTGGTGGGCTGCAGTCCATGGGGTCGCAAAGAGTCGGACAGGACTGAGCGACTTCACTTTCACTTCTCACTTTCATGCATTGGAGAAGGAAATGGCAACCCACTCCAGTGTTCTTGCCTAGAGAATCCCAGGGATGGGGGAGCCTGGTGGGCTGCCATCTATGGGGTCGCACAGAGTCGGACACGACTGAAGCGACTTAGCATGCATGCATGCATTGGAGAAGGAAATGGCAACCCACTCCAGTATTCTTGACTGGAGAATCCCAGGGACGGAGGAGCCTGGTGGGCTGCCGTCCATGGGGTCGCACAGAGTCGGACATGACTGAAGTGACTTAGCAGCACCAACAGTATATAGTCATCAAAATTAACACTTCAAATATTACTTTTCAAAACCTTTAACTCATCTGATTAAATTTTCTATTTAATAGAATGTGTATACAATGTGTACATAAGCATGCATATATTGGAGATGTGAAATTAAAAAAATTAGGTATAGCTATGGACTGAATGGTATCCCCAAATCATATATTGACGCCCTAACCCCATGGTGACGGAATTTGAAATTAGGGCTTTTAGAAGGTGATCAAAGGTTGAATGGGGATTCCAAGGTGGCTCAGTGGTAAAGAATCTGCCTGTCAATACAAGAGATGCAGGAGATGTGGGTTCAATCCCTGCATCAGGAAGATCCCCTGGAGAAGGGAATGGCAACCCACTCCAGTATTCTTGCCTGGAAAATTCCATGGACAGAGGAGCCTGTTGGACTATAGTCCATGGGGTTGCAAAGCATCAAACACGACTGAGCAACTGAGCACACGAAGTTAAATGAGGTCGTGAGGATGGAGTCCTAAATTAAGAGGACTGGTGACCTTATAATGGCAGGAGGAGAGCAATCTCTCTCTTTCTCTCCATACACACACATGGAGGAAAGGCCACGTGAGCCCTGATCCAGAAGGTGGTCATCAGCAAGCCACGACAGGAGTTGTCAGCAGAAACTATTGTGATGGTATCCTGATCTCAGACTTCCAGCCTCCAGAAGGGTGAGCAGGCCATTTCTGTCCTTTAAGCAGCCCAGTCTGTGGTATTCTGTTATGGCAGCGCCTGAGGGATATGTGATCAAATACAGGGATATGTGATCAAAAACATTTGTGAATCACTGAAGTACGTAGTGTGTGGTTCCCTTATATTTCTTCTCTGATTCCTATCATCAGGTTCTTTCTCCTCTGGAAGGTGGAAATGGCTCATTGTGTTTGACTGCAGCAGTGACAGCCCCATTTGTTCCCACTTCCCTCATTCCACGCCTTTGGGTGGTCCCCTCCCGTACAGACTCCGGCCCTGACCATGTGACTTGCTTTGGCCAAGGGAGCGAAGCTAATGTGTCACAGGCAGAGGCTGAGAAAGTGCTGGCGAGTTGGAGCTTGCCTCCTCTCTTACCATGGGGCCTCTGGCAGCTAGTGAACTGGCTCACCAGCAGCCTCCTAGGGGCTCCGAGACCAAGAGAAGTGTAGCTGCAGACCTCCCAGCTGAGGCCTGGGACCTGTGCGTGGGGCCGACCCTGCCCACCCAGGTCTGACCAGGCTGGCCCGGACCAGAAGAACTGCCCAGATAATCCACAGAGTCATGAGAAAGTAGAAACACATATTGCTGGAAGTCACTGAGTTTTGGAGCAGTCTGTTACCTGGCAGAAGTTAAGTGATACAGTGGGGTGGGTGGATCCTAGGGCCTTTTACACTGTTTAGAAGCTCTGCAGCTTAAAAATGGATGGTCCCAGATGAGATGCCTTTCAACTGTCCTTCCAGCTTTGTTATTTGTGTTTGCATTTCTGGAGCCTAGAACAGAGCCTCACGCATCTTAGATGCTTGGAAACATGTGTGGAATAAAGCAGATGGGTCAAAACAAACACATGTGGAAGATTTCCTGAAAGTGTTTACATGGATTGTTTTAGTTACTCCTTCCCCTCCAGGGATTACCATGCCCATTTTAAGATGAGGAAACCAAGGCTTAGGGAGGTTAAGTACCTCGCCCAAGATCAGACACCTGGAAACAGCTGAGCAGGACTTGATCTCTCCGTTAGGTCTGCCTTCATAGTACTTTGCTTAGGTTCCATGCAATCCCTCCAGTTTTGGACTGCCTATCTTTCTGTATTGCATGAAATTTGAAAGCCAGAAAGGGAATTTTCAGAATTCTTCTGTCACTTAAGTGGTCCTCACTGCACACATCTGGCCCCTCCAGAGAACCAGGTTTCTCATGATGATGACAGCCACGGGCCCGGTGGGTCCGGAATAATGGAACAGAGGTCACCAACGGAGGCTGTGAGCAGTAAACGACACGCAGCTCAGGAGCTGGCGGCTTCTGACTCCACTACCTGGGAGGGGAGCCAGGGTGCCGCTCCAGCTCGGGCTTGATGAGAACTAACTGATGCCAGTTGCCGTCCCTGGGACCCAGGTGGTGCCCATTAGGCACAGGGACAAGGCCAGTTCATTCGTGGGTCTGTGCCAGGCAGGGTTTACAGCCAACAGCTTTCCCTGCTGGCAGTCTGTGTGAGGCCCTCTGTCTGTCCAGCCTCCCTCTTCCATCCTTGGATGGACAGGAAAAGCACAGATCGGATTACCCTGGTAGAGCTGTGCGCAAGCAGCACAGGGTGGGGGACTGTCCTTGGGCTTTGTCCATGCCCCGTGTGGGGAGACTGAAATGTCTAGGCGAGGACTAGAATAGTAGCTCGTGCATGTGTTCAGCGCTTTACACAGAGTGTGCCTTTTAGCCCTCATCGGGGAGGATTTTCCCGCTCCCAGGGCTCCTACATTCTGTTATTCTCTGTTACAGTAGACTGTTCACTGTGACTATTTTCTTTGCTTGTTTATTTGCTTTATCATCTCTCCCTCACTGGACTTTGAGCCCCTTGTTTATTTCTCCCCTTGTTTATTGTCTATGGTATCTCCAGTTTAATGTCATGCAGATAGTGGATGCTCAATAAAAATTTGTCAGATGAACTTTTCAAGACAGACTTTATTATTCTTATTTAATAAAACAGAAGGGACTTCCCTGGTGGTCCAGTGGTTAAGAACTGCCTTCCAATGCAGGGGACTCCGGTTCGATTCCTGGTCAGGGAATTAAGACCCCACATTCCACTGGGAAACTAAGCTTGCATGCCGCAAATGGAGAGCCCGCACCCTGCAACCAAAGATCCTGTGTGCTGCAACTAAGACCCAATGCAGCCAAAAATAAGTAAGTAAAATATATTTTTCTAAAAACCCTCTAATAAAACAGAAAACTAAAACTCAGAAATGTTGGGTAAATTGCTCAAGGTTACTACACAGCTGAAGAAATCACAGAAACCAAATTCTAACTTGGGTTTTACCGACTTTGTAACCTGTGAGATTTTTCTAAAGCATGAGGCAGGCACCACTTGTGGCAGGAGGGAGAACTAAAGTAGCACACAAATATGTTTAAAGAATATCAAGTCATGAGGCAGATTTCCTTTCCATTTGTCTTTCAATCCTGCAAGCAAATGATTTTTCCAATAAAGTGAGGCCTTAAGCTTACAGCCAGACTATTAGCACGAGTTTTGGCTGTAAGAGGAAGTTTGAAAAAGATGGATTGAACACACTAAGGCATGTTTCTCTCTCACGTAAACAGACCCAAATAGCCTAGGGATGGAAAGGCAGTTCCACGGTCGTGGGGTACCCACACTCCTTCTACTCTGTGGCTCTGGCACCTTTATCATGTAGTGTCTCTTTTACAGCCCACGATAGTTGCTGTGGCTCCAGCCATCGTGTCCATCAGGTCCACCTTCTGGCCATCAGGAAGTAGGGAAGATCCTGTCCTTTCCTTTAAGAGCCACTTTCTAGAAGTCAGTTTATATTCCTTCAGCCACTGGAGAACTGAAGAAGGAAGGAGGGGAGCTGCTGCTGCTGGTAAGTTGCTTCAGTCGTGTCTGACTGTGCGAACCCATAGACGGCAGCCCAGCAGGCTCCTCCTGTCCCTGGGATTCTCCAGCCAAGAACACTGGAGTGGGTTGCCATTTCCTTCTCCAAGGAGGGGAGGGAGAACCCAAAATTTGTATTCCTGTGGCTCTGTTAGGATCCTGACTTTTGTAAGTTTCATGAAGTCATTGCACTTGGCACAGCCTTCAAATATGGAAGCTTTGATCAGAAGATCAAGAAGTACTTGATTGTTGGACAGGCTGTGAGTTGGGACTTGTCCTGTGGCTCTTGGCCCATGACTGATGAGGACAAGGAGTCACCTGATTGAGCTGTGTGAAGGGGTTCACCAGGGGCAGTTTCCTTTCCTCCCCAAGGTGTGTGGGGGTGGGGGGCTGCTCTTTTGTGTTTTTACCCTCCTTGTGCAACTAAGGGTTGCAAAGTATCCCTTGTGGGCCCTTGGAGCCCCACCATCCCAATCAGATAGCGCTCAGCCCTGAACATGCTGTTCTCCAGATGAGCCTCACCGTGCAGGGAAGAAGAGGGCGGAGGAGAAGCTGCAGGGTGGGGCTGGCGCCTGTCCACCCATGTGGGCCCTGAACACCCACGTGTGTGACTTTCTCAGGCGCCCAGGGGACACGGTGGGACGCGGCTGCCTCCAGGCAAGAGGACCCCAGCAGCCAGAGGCCATGGGTGTAACTGCCAGTATAGGCAGCTTAGGTCTGTGGTGGAGTGGAACAGGATCACTCACTCAGAGAACATCCGGAGGAACCCCCGCCTGCCCCCTACAAGGCACTAGTGTTGAGAAGCTCCCCCAGGAAGAGCCAGGCAGGCCAGCAGCTCTGCTAACCTGGAGAGGATTGCAAAACAATCCTCTCGGCTACCCCGAGAGGCTCCCCGTTCCTTTCCCACGAGTTGCTGACTCCCAGCCCCCAACCTCTGACAGCATGAGGGAGGAGAGGGTTATCTCAAAGGCACACCAAGCTCCCTTCAATCCCAGTGGTGGGTGGGTGGAGGTGGGGGGAAGAGGTGGAAAGCAGACTGTCTGTCCCCTTTCAAGTCTCCAGAGCCCCAAATCCACTCATGATGGGGAAGGGGTGACCTTGGAATCAGATAAGAGATTAAAGTTCTAAACCAAACTGGGCTGAGTTTTAATAAGGAAGGGGACCTGAAAACTTTGAAATCTGTCCCACTTCTTGCTAAGGGATGGGAAAGGGAGCTTCAGTAGAGGCTGGTTCAATCTCTTCTTCACGTTATGTGCTAGGCACTGCCACATGCCTCAAGGGTGGGAGAGACGGATGATAAACAATAAATACACACTCCAGATCGGGTAGTGGAAAATGCTAGGAAGGATGAGGAAAGAGATGGAGGGAGACAGTCGTCCCTCTGCGGAGGGGATTTTGACCAGGGTTTGAATGAGGGAGGGAGGAACTCTAGTGACTGCAGGGGGATGACTGCTTTAGGCCATGATTGGCATTTTCTTCCTATTTCCTACTGAAAGTGGCCTCACCAGCCTGATGAGGTCTCCCTAGGGTACTGAACCTGGCTGATTCCTCAGATTCCTAAGCCCAACCCAGGGATTCTGATCCAGTTGCATGAGGGAGGGGCAAGGAGCCTTTCCCAAAGCTCCCTATCTGATCCTCCTCATCTGAAGGTCTGAGGACCAGAGTGATACGATGATCACATCTGTTGCTGCCCAAGCACCTGCAAGACAGAGGAGGGAGATGGAACTGTAAAAATTAAGAGCAGTTACTATGTATCAGGAAACCTACTAAGGAACCCTACTAAGCATTTTGCTTGCATTACCTTATATATATACACAGATATATACAATATTTGCAAGAACTCTAAGGTGAGTAGTATTATTCTACCCATTTTACAGATGAAAAATTAAGGCCCTGAGATATTTAGTCATTTGCCTGCAATCATAAAATAATGTGTGGGGGCACCAGGTTCTGGCCTAGGCATGAAACTCTGGCCCCCTATTCTCTCTGCAGAGATGAGATAAACAATCACTAGTGAAGAAACAGCCACACAAGGCAGTAATTTGAGGTGACAGATGGGAGTGGGCCCTGGGCCACTTAAGATTTCAGAGGCAAAAATGAAACCAGTGAGGTCTGGATATTCAGGATAAAGGGCTGGACTGTCTCCAGTGGGAAGTCAGGCTCGCCTGGGAGAGAAGAAGCAAGCAGAAGCGCTGCCGTCTGTGAAGCAGAGCCAGGCACAGTTGCCCAGAGGGAAGCAGAGACCAGAGACCACCTGGGCTCTGGGTGGGGGGGGGGGTTGAGATGGTACTTGCCTCAGCTCCTAATGGCCATCTGGACCCTCATCCTAGCACAGAGGAAGATCAATGGAGCCTGGGGGCTAGGGTTTGTCTGGAAATGAGTACCAAATACATAGCAGGACTAGAGGTTTCATGGTCAGCATATTTTAAAACAGTAACTCAGTGGCAAAGACCCTGATGCTGGGAAAGATTGAAGGCAGAAGGAAAAGAGGGCAGTTGAGGGTAAGATGGTTGGATGGCATCACCAATTCAATGGACATGAACCTGGGCAAACTCCAGGAGATAGTGAGGGACAAGGAAGTCTGGTGTACTGCAGTCCATGGGATTGCAAAAGTCGGACACAACTTGGTGACTCAACTCAACTCAGTGCAAAACTGACATTGAAAACGTTCTCTACCTACATTTTTGGGACAACCCCGTGACTGGCACTCAGGGACCCATTTTCCTTTAGCCCTCTTTGCTTGCTGTGCTTCTGTCTGCTTGCACAAGATTTGGGTGTACTTTTTTTTTTTTTCTGTCTCCAAAGTCCCTGACGTCTCAGGGACTTATAGTAAACTCAGTAGCCTTATAGTACACTCTTACTTTGCTTCAGCTGGTTTAAGGGGGTTCTGATTCCTGTAATTGACATAGCCCTGCCTAGAGCAGATATGATGAATCTGGTTTCTGATACAGGCCAGTTGAGATTTGAGGGTGGATTATACAGGTTGGACTCTACTAGGAAGCTGGAAATTAAGAGATGGAGCTTGAGTGAGGTATAAGTTAATGCCAGCTGCTGGGACACCCAAACCCCAAAATCTTAGTGGTTTAAAACAATAGACGTTTATTTCTTGTTTATACCATGATGTGCGTGTGTTCCTGGTCAGGCAGCCTTCATCAAGGACTGAGGTTCCTCCATCTTGTGGTTCCTTCCTCCCGTACAACTTGGAATCCACCGAGGGGGCTGAGACAGAGGGGAGGCACTCTTGCCGAGTGCCGAAAAATTGATGCTTTTGAACTGTGGTGTTGGAGAAGACTCTTGAGAGTCCCTTTGCAAGGAGATCCAACCAGTCCATCCTAAAGGAGATCAGTCCTGGGTGTTTATTGGAAGGACTGATGCTGAAGTTGAAATGCCAATACTCTGGCCACCTCATGTGAAGAGTTGACTCATTGGAAAAGACCCTGATGCTGGGAGGGATTGTGGGCAGGAGGAGAAGGGGACGACAGAGGATGAGATAGCTGGATGGCATCACCGACTCGATGGGCATGAGTTTGAGTAAACTCCGGGAGTTGGTGATGGACTGGGAGGGCTGGCGTGCTGCGATTCATGGGGTCGCAAAGAGCTGGACATGACTGAGCGACTGAATTGAACTGAGCTGAACTCTTGCCCAGATGTGATGAAGGTCTCTTCCACCTACTTGTCATTGTAGAGAATTTGTCACATGATCCACAATAGCCGAAAGGTGGGCCCAAATGGCCATCAACGACGATGACGATGTGTTAGTCACTCAGTCGTGTCTGACTGTTTGTGACCCCATGGACTGTGGGGCCCACCAGGCTCCTCTGTCCATGGCAAGAATACTGGAGCGGGTTGCCATTTTCTTCTCCAGGAATGCCCATCAACAGATGCATGGATAAGCAATTTGTATTAGAAATGGGTACAGGTTTAGAAAACAAACGTGTGGTTACCAGGAGATAAGCGTAGGGAGGGATAAATTGGGAGATCGGGACTGACATGTACACACTACCATATATATATATAAAATATATATATATAATACATAACTAATAAGAACCTGCTGTATATAGCATAGGGAACTCTACTCAGTACTCTGTATTGGCCTATATGGGAAAAGAATCTAAAGAAAAAGAGTGGATCTACGTATATGTATAACTGATTCACTTTGGTATACCTGAAATGAACACAGCATTGTAAATTGATTATACTGCCACAAAAATTAAAAAAAAAACAACTAAAACAAACAAATGAATAACCCGACTTGTGGTAAATCCTTGCAATAAAACATTATTCAGTCACAAACAGGAATGAAGCACTGACCTAGGCTACAACATGGATGAACTTGGAAAACATTAATCAAAGTGAAGCACAAAAGGCCACACATTGAATGCTTCCTCTTATAAGAAATATCCAGAATGGGTAAATCTGTAGAGAGAGAAGGGCTTCCCCAGTGCTTCAGCAGGAAAGAATCCACCTGCAGTGCCACAGGAGAAGCGGGTTCGACCCCCGGGTCGGGAAGATCCTCTGGAGGAGGGCATGGCAACCCACTCCAGTAATCTTGCCTGAAGAATCTCATGGACAGAGGAGCCTGGCGGGCTACAGACCATGAGATCTTAAAGAGTCGGACCTAAAAGAAGCAACTTAGCCCACATGCACATAGAGACAGAAAGCAGGGTGGTGGTTGAGGAGCCAGAAAAAGGGAGGAATGGAGTGTAATTGCTCCTTTTAAGGTGATGAAAATGTTTTGGAACTTGATATAGGGGTTGGCTGCACAACACTGTGAATGGACTAGCTCCTGTTGAATGGTCCTTTTTAAAACAGTTAATTGCATGCTATGTGAATTTCATCCCAATTGAAAAAACAAATGCATGCAAGGGGCTGGCAAACATTATCCCTGGCAGGGCAGCGGCTGCTCCCCAGTGACCACTCCCCAGTCCAGAAGGAGGTCACAAAGCCTTGATGACCAGCTGAACATCTGTGCACACTTTTCTTCTTCCTTCCCTAAGAACATACCGGATGGCCCTTGAGTTTGAATGTGGCTTCTCTCGCATTAACGATGTATAAACTAAAAGGGCAAGTTATCTCAATTCTCAGCTCACGCCCTATACATGGAAGCAGAGCAAACAGCACGACTGCAATACCAGCCTGTGTCCAGAAAGAGGAAGGCCGGCAGACGGAGCAGCCCCTAGCCCCCAGCAGTGATGAGCTCTGCCAGGCAGACGCTGAGGAGGTGGGCTCCTGAATGGACTGGTCCCTTCATTTCAGCCTATTCTGATTTCCGAGAGGAGCTCCCTGGTCCACTGTTCTCTATGACTGAGTCCACCCTCTGGGAGATTTCTCCTTGATCACTATCTCCTGGGCCACATCTGAAGTGCTCTGCTATAGAGGCTGTCCAGCTTGCATAAGCCAACTTCCTGCCTGGGCAATCTCGGGGCCTTGAGGGTGGCTCAATGTTTCAACAGTCAAAATCTTTGCTAGTTGGGGCTTGTCATTTCTTTGGCAATAAAACACCCTAAACATTGTTGTAGGTGTCTTACTAGACACACAGAAAATTACGTGGCGTCTGATTTCAGTTATAGCATGTTCAAGAACAGGCAAAATGAATCAAAGACGGCACCGTGCTTGATTGGAATGCAACAGACAAGGAGACTCCGAGGGGCTCAGGGGCTGACCTAAAGTCACACAAAAGCCAGTTTGAGCAGAGGCAGGATGAGAACCCAGGTCTCCAGACTTACAGCTCAGGGAGCTCTCTTTCCACACTTGGCTCTCATAGGGAATGAGGAGACACTGTGGTTTCAAACCTGCGTTTTCTTCCGGTGCTTTTAATTAGCATCTACGAAATACACTGCCAATCTAATTTAATTGTAATTAGGTAACCGGAAGGCTGATTATGTTGTAAATTTAGATTAAAGAGCTGTTGTTTTCAATTAGATTTGATTGTAAAGTGCTTTGACACTTTTCCGGCCTATGGAAAGTTTATTATATAATTTCCCACTTGTTCACTTGTGTTTTTACTCATAGGTCTGGGGTGCTGGTGATGGGACTAAAGTTCCCAGGGCACCCCGAGTTTGGCACAGATTTGGATCTAGTACCCCATCAATGGCAAGGGCCACCAGATGCTAATGGGCTGTTGT